ATAACAATGCATTGATAACTGTCTTCACAAAGGCGGGACTCTGGGAGGGAAACACAAGTGTAGCGTCTATTGGGAAAAACACTTCTTCTCGGGGGATCGCTAACTCACCCATGTTTTGCGGTCGTGGAGTTTAATAAGAATCAATTGGTTAAATAGATCAGCAGTCAACGTGACCATGACAATAGTATATAAATTAAACTGAAAAGATATATTAGTGATATAGGAAAAAAACTTTGGGTTACATCGGAAACATATACTTTCTCGTATGTCTTATTTGAGTACTAATGTAGTGGATTCCTCCCCTACAAACGCTGTTTGTTGCTGGCTAGCCGACCCAGCGAATTCCCCAGTGTATGCCTCGTGGTCTAGGTCAGCAACCAGCGCCGCCTTACATGACTGAGGTCAACTATTAAGCCATGCCTACCTCCGCTATATAAGACCTGACCTCGTGGTGACCTTGCTCTTTCGACCTACACCAACCAACAAGCAACACCTCTTCTCCTCCTCCTCCTCCTCTTCCTCCTCCTGCCTGGCGGCCCTCGCTCCCGCCAGCGACCATGGCGACCCACAAGCTAGTCCTCTGAGCACCCTCGCCAACCAGCTCTCTTTACTCAACGCTTGCAACCATGCTGCCTTTCCAGCACCAAGCTGCATTGTACATCCAATACAATATGTATACAGAGAGCACATTGTGAGTTTCCTTTCTCCATCCCATCCTGAGTGTGAACCAACATCTCATAACCCTACAAATGGTGACCCCCGGAGATTCGCACTCACACAGGATGGAGGAGAAACCGATCACTCTCCCAGTCTTCAAGCAACATGGAAGACTGGCTTATCCACACAGAGGCAGCTCTCATCGACTCTACAACTACTGTCTCTACACCGCAGGTTAGACACCCTAGAGCAGCTCTGCTACTCTAAGCAGACAGCCGCTCCTCTTCTTGCCCCAAGCACCACGTCCTACCGACCCCAGCACACCCGTCCTGCCTCAGACGCCGCCCCCGGCCCAGCAGTACCCCCTGCCACTGTCCTGGACCCTCCTCCGCTCCTGCCTGGCAGCCCCTGCTCCCGACGCGGCCCATGCGCCTGAGTGCGGACCCACACACCCCTCTTTTCTCCTTCAGGTACCCCCTGCTACTGTCCTGCACCCTGCTGCTGTCGCGGACCCTGCTGCTGTCATGCACCCTGCTGCTGTCATGGACACTTCCTAACGCAGCCCCTGCTCCTGACCCAGGCCCACACACCCCAGCAGGCGCATCTGACGACTCTGTACATGCTGTGAGGGAAGCACAACATTCATCACCCCCACACACCCTTTTTCTCCCTCTCTCCTCCCACAGATCTCGTGTATCTAGACAAGGTTGTCTCCACTAGCGGCCGGCTTATACACGCCCTCGCCGTCATGTCTAACATGTGGCATGCACCGCCCGTTCTGCCTCACATGTGCCATGCAACCCTGCAGACAACAAGTCTCCTACACCGCCTGGAGGGAAGGGGGAGTATTGCAGTGGATTCCTCCCCTACAAACGCTGTTTGTCGCTGGCTAGCCGACCAGTGTATGCCTCGTGGTCTAGGTCAGCAACCAGCGCCGCCTTACATGACTGAGGTCAACTATTAAGCCACGCCTACCTCCGCTATATAAGACCTGACCTCGTGGTGACCTTGCTCTTTCGACCTACACCAACCAGCAAGCAACACCTCCTCCTCCTGCCTGGCGGCCCTCGCTCCAGCCAGCGACCATGGCGACCCACAAGCTAGTCCTCTGAGCACCCTCACCAACCAGCTCTCTCTACTCAACGCTTGCAACCATGCTGCCTTCCCAGCACCAAGCTGCATTGTACATCCAATACAATATGTATACAGAGAGCACATTGTGAGTTTCCTTTCTCCATCCAATCCTGAGTGTGAACCAAACATCTCGTACCCCACACTATAACCGTGTATCCGAGGCCCGAGACCCTAATAGTGAGAGCCCCAGTTATCAGGGTGTGTGAAGAGGGGGACGGTTTGATGAAACCTATTATGATGAAGCACTTTCATGACCTTGAGGTGACAACAACTACGTGACACAGCTGACGTGGCGTATAATAATAATAATAATAATAATAATTAACGGTTAATTGAAAGAGCAAGGCTGAAAATATACTAATACATAATTGGGGAATGGGTCTCTTGATTTACAAATAATTACAAGTAACATAAGTGATACAAATATGATATATAATAACTAGGTGTATGTATTTGTGTGTATGTGGTTGTGTGTGTGTGTGTTTTATACTTTGTATATACCTATTCTGTTTGAGTTTTTAAAGAGATTTACTATGAGTACTTGAAAATATTACTGTCGCCAACCCTAGGGCCTAGTAACAATAGCTGCATAGAGCTGTCTGTACCTAACAGCTGTCCACAAGTTAACTAGCTCGACAACCACGGCTTCGTTAAGAGTGTACGTCTTGCTCTGAATATCTACTTATTTAAATTGTTTAGTTCTGTTGTTCTGGAAGACGTGAATTTTCTCTCTTTGTTTATAGGTAATGTTGTAGTAATTTAGTTGCCATGAATATATATGAATAACAATAACCCGTGTTTAATATAGCGGGGTTTAATCATTCACATTTGAACTAGTATGGATAAGATGCACTATATATTTTATGGAATTCATTGAAATCCCCATATATGACATAATTTCTATCGGAATCTTATAAGATACTTTATGAAAATATGTGAAGAGATGAGTTCTTAAATTGAAAATGATAGCATTTTGTTCATATAACGGGGTTCCTGTTGTTGATGTTGCGCACGACACCATATACCAATGTTTCCTCTCAATGGTTACCTCCTTATAATGTGTCATCAAAATAGTCTCTAATTCTTAAAATTTAACTTATATTTAGATTCAAAGATTATTTTAGACTTATAAAATAATACATAAGCTGTAAATAAAGATTTAAAAAGAACAACATTTATTTAAGTTTCTGCAAAACCTAAACCTAAGCCAAAGTCGTGAAGCGGTATTAAGAGCAGCTGTACCTTAGGCTGAGACTCACACTTGACTTGGCTGTCTCACTCAACACTATTACGCCTTTCTCACCATGGCAACTGACAATCTCTCTGCTGTTGTATATGCCAAAAATGATCTTAGACTTGTAAGTAATTTGACTTTTTATTGTCGATTTATAGTTGTATTTGAAGTGCATAGTAAATCCATGACGGTAATAAAAATGCCACAAGTTTTTCAGCATGGAGGTAATGTTGCACAAATGCACCAGTTTAATTGAGTAGAACTTGTAGTCAACCAGTTTTGTCCACCTCGAACAGCAGGTCAATTTATAGTAATGCACCATTCTTTCGGTATTATTTTCTTTACACACCGTTCATTCCTACCACTAATCTATTATCATATTCGAATAAGACGTCTAATTATAAGATAATTTTCATCTATTACATTACCGACGGAAAAGTATAATAACGGAGATAGCTTTTCCAAAATATTTTCTATTTTCTTCCATTAACATCCCGCCATTATCGTCTGCCTCTCCTCCAACACTGCCTGTCTCCTGTGTCTCCTTCATAAATCATCCTGGCAGGCGTTGCTGTACACGTCACACAGCCAATCAAAAGCCTTTTTTTTTACTGGGATTACCCCACCCGGGCACAGGTCACTGACCCACATCGGGGCCTGGGGAGCGAAGTTGTAATAATAATAATTCAGAAACCAATTAAAATGTTTTTGGGTTTAATTCGCGGTATTTTTGGCCCAATCAAATTTCGAGTATTCTTTTTGGTCTCTCATATTTTGAAATTCAAGTTCAGTTCCGACCATGGAAGTCTGCGATGGGTGTCACTTAAAGTATATGGAGTTGATTGCGATTTTTTTGAAAAAAAAACGAAGAAACTATAGCATTTTTTCGATCGCATGGTGTTCTTCCAACCTCAGTAAAGTGTACTAAGAGCAAGACAATGTAAATATCGCAAAGACTAACATGTGGCGTTGTGTAAGAATCCCAGAATCCAACGACGAACAAGAACCAGGCCAATAAGGTAAGAAATAGGTGATTCCATCATATGGTGAGAGTCAGTTAAGTTAGGTTAGGTTTGGTTTGGTTATTGTTTTTCTAGTGTTTTTCTAGCCACTTTTTCTTTCTCGGAAAACATCTAACGAAAAAAAATCGCAAAAAAACCCGGCTAATTTCCGCCAAAAAGGAAGGTCATATTCGGTCTCGCACAAATACACTAGAAAAATATATTTTTAACTTACTAAAAGTGAACGGTGTGACAAGAAAAATTTACCATTCTTTCTTTGGGTATTAGAGATATGCTTTTCTTATGGTTATTGAGGAGTTTTGAACGAATTTTATATTAATTTCTGTCGGAAATCACCCGTTTTTGAGATAATACCTTCAAAAGTTATCAAAGAACATAGGAAAAAATATTTATAATACCAACAGAAATTTAACCTTACTTAACCTACTCCCTCTTTCTGTGTAAAAAAAACACGCAAAGAAAATCCCCAAAATCCAACCAAACCTAACCTAACCCAACCTAACATAACGTAATCAAACGATAAGTACACCGATTTTAACAGTTTGGACAACTCACGTTGTTTGGTAATACACCGTGTTTTCAAAAAAATGAAATGGCCTCGGTATTTTTCTGATGGAACTTGGCAATAGACGTAAAACAATTGTGTTGACAATGTCCACTCAGCTCTTCCACCTGTACAGCCATATCTGGTACAAAATCAAAATTTCCCTCCTGACGGACCCACGCATTGCTCATTGGCTAAGACAAAGAACTCTTACCCAATAATAAGTCTCCCTTCACCCTGCGCTCCCCAATAATAACGTTACCCTCACCCTCTATTTCCACTAGCCAAATACGAACTCCCCCCCCCACCCCCCACACATGCGCTGTAGACGAAGAAGCGAAAAGCGAACACACTCGAGTAGGAACTGAGGGGGAAAGAGCTTCTCTGCCCAATGTAACCAAGGATGGGGTGTCTTGTGACATACAAATAATAATAATACTGGAAAAATAACATCTCGGTTATCCTGAATTTCCGACGAAAATGTCATAGAATAAAAAGTCTTAGAATTGTCTAAACATTTAGAAAAACGTAGATCTAACACCGAGAGATAGAACGGTGCAATATACCCAGCAGAAGACTTGACATGTATGGCAATAATGGACTAAAATCAGATTAGTATATACCGAGACTATGAATTATATAACTGTGTGACTTGTTAATGTCTTGGCCATGAGAGTAAATATCAGTGACTGGCAGAGAGGAGTAACTGTACCTCTGCAAACACATCCTAGTAATCTTTCTTTATTTTTGTTTTAGTCCTTCTATGTGACCGACTTCAGGATCACTGGAGAGCACCCAATAAAGATATCAATACAATACAGCATTACTGGTCACAATAATTTTAGTTCTATCACAAGATTAGGCTGATTAGTACCATCTACATATAGCCTTTATTGCAAAATGGGGTTGAAATCATTTACTCTTCAGAATGGTATGAGTAAAGTGCCTTGCGATATGGCCAGATCTAAATCGGCATATGTACATCTCTGCATTAGATCTCGGTAATTTATGAGGAAACCTCTACCACCAGAAGTTGTTTGATTTTGTTCATTTTTCCCACATACAGTAATCTTATGTGGGTAACATTATCGTTTCGGTCTTCAGCCTAATTTCAAAAGGTTAGAATCATTCAAGACATATCAAATCCATCGGAAAAACATAATTTCAACCCAACCCAACCAAACCTATAGGTAGTAGGCAGCTACCAAACTAATGGTAGACCCTGCTGCTATATGGCATCACAGAAATTGTGACCAAGTCCCAGGTTGCTCATCTGTCTTTCTGCCTCATTTACACACAATTGCAGGGTCTCAATTGACTCTCTTACTATTGACAACACAACATATATACAGTACTCCCTCTTTATCGACGGGGGTTACGTTCTGTAGACGGCCGTCGATAAAGAAACCGTCGATACCGTGATGGTTACGTAATTTTTCTAACTATTATTAGCATATGTTGAATAAATGTACCTTTAAGCATTAATGCGTTTCCTTTACACATAACCTTAAATAATAGTGTATAAATAATAATATAATAAGTGGACAAAAATACTAGCAAACTTACGATTTCATTTATTGAAGTGAACATCGGTCCTTACAGTAAACAATACAGTGTACAGTATATACAAGTGTGATGATTGAGGCTTATTAAAAGCCTGACCAGTCAGATGAGTATGATGAGTCAAGGTCTGCATCTTCTTGAGGGGTGTGGGCAGGTTCTGCGTCTTGTTGTTGTGAGGTGCCGGCAGCTTCTACGTCTTGTAGAATAATAAAAATCCGTCTAAATAATCCGTCGATAATCGAAACCATCGATAAAAAATCCGTCGATAAAGAGGGAGTACTGTATAACTTTTTTCACTCTTGATCTGTTTTATTCTTTCTAATCTTTTATTTTCCTATGACATCAGCTAACAATAATTTTAAAGTGGGGGGCCTTTTCGGATGGGTCCCACTGGTCGGGAAGGTTGTGGACCCCAGGGCCGACCTGATCATTATCAAACTACTGGGGCCTCAACTGACGTCACCGCGGTTGCTGAAGGATCGGCTTTTTTCACACTTAATTTTTCCAATATTCGCGGCCTGAGATCCAATTTTTCTTCTGTGGAGCACCATCTATTAACCTCTTCCCCCAATCTCTTACTACTAGCTGAACTTCAACTGACCAAAGCAGCTTCACTGAAACCTTTTCAAGTCTCCAACTACAACCTTTATACCTCTTTACGTTCTTAGGGAGGTGTATGCACCTACTGCAACACACATACACCTATAGCTCGACTCATGGATCTTGAATCTTCTCTTTATGATGTCATCTGGCTCAAAATATCTCTACCAACTATGACTATTTTGCTTTGTTTCCTATACTGTTCTCCCAACTCTACTAACCACAGTCAGTCCTCGACGGGTTTGGGGACCGACGACCAGGTCGTAAGTCGAAAATGCGAAAATAATACATAGAAAATCTGAAATGGGTGTCTCTTTTTCTTCTCAGCACCACAAGAACTCTCACTTTTAGGCTTGCCAGCCATTTTAAAGGGAATTACAAACGAAAATTTTGTCAGTACACAGCGAGATCACTAACGATGTGATTCGAAAATACGTAATATGAAAAATATTTTATACGACTGCGGCGGTCGTAAATCGAGGAGTACCTGTATTTGGAACTCTTTGACTATCTCACTTCTTGCCATGAGTCATTGCTATCCACACACCGAGATCCTCTACCTAGGGGATTTCAATGTATACAATCAAAGACAAAAGTTGTGTCGTGGTTTTGTCCAAAGAATAGATATATCTCATGAAACATTATGAGAGCCCCCTACCACAAGGCAGAGCTCACCAAAAGTATAGTCCTTCGGCATATGTTTTCACCAAATTTCATGACACGAATTTTGTCTTTCATTGTACATCACAGAGAGTGGCTTGGCTCTGCAAGGGATGACCCAGGTGGAGCTGAGGCACTCTTTTTTCCTTACTTAATGATCTGGAACACATAATTAAACACCCTACACCTGTTCCAGATCAAAAAGATCAACTTACTAACATTCTTGATCTTTGTTTTAGCTCTACCCCTCACTCTATTCATACTCAATTTCTGCCCCCTTAGGGTCTTCTGATCACAATCTTATTTCTATTAAATTAAACTGGGCACGACCACCTCACCCACCCCCCTCTAAACGCTAACTATGACACTATCGGAGGGCAAACTGGCAATCCTTGTGAGAATTCTTCTTGGACTTTCCCTGGGATGAATGTTGTTTTTCCACTCGGGATGCCTTGGTATGTGCTAACAGTATTGCTGGGGTTATACTCGGTGGTATGAGTGCATTTATCCCATCTTCTACCAAAACTTTCACATTACAATCATGGTTTGATCGCTCCTGTTCTCTTGCATGTAGGGAGAGAGATAGAGTGTATCAAGTTATGAAACTATCTCCTTCTCCTGTTCCCCACTTCTCTTTCATTACTTCTAGGAATCATTGTAAGGTTATTCTTTGTAGGGCCAAGCTGAATTTTTTAATAAGAAAGACCTCTGACTTGACTAACTCTTCTTCTGGTAAATCCTTCTGGTCCTTAATGAAAAACATATGTAATAAGTTTTGCACTCTCTCTTTTCCTCCTCTCTTCCGACCTGATAACTCTATAGCCAACTCTCCCCTTGATAAAGCCAATCTCTTTGGCACCTTATTCTACTCTAACTCCACCTTAGACGATTTCAACTCTACCCCACCTGCTCCTCCTACTGAACCTATGCACTTTCCTATAATCTCCACTCGTAGGGTTGCTGGCGTGTTATCCAGGTTGGATGTGAGTGAGCCTTTTACTTTTGTTGGGTCACCAGTATGGCTTTCTCCAGATGAGATCTACTGGTGATCTGCTCTCCTACTACACCCATCTTTGGTCATCCTCTCTTAGGGATTATGGGGAAACTTTCGCCATGGCCCTCAACATCTCCAAAACAATTGACAGGGTACGGCACAAGTCTTTGTTTTCTAAACTTTCCTCTTATGTTTTCTCTCCCCCACTTTGTTCTCTAATTTTTATCTTCCTTGAGAACTGATCCATGGCAGTTGTTGTCGAGGGATCGATCTCTCGCTCTTTCTCTACCAATAGTGGTGTTCCAATGGGTTTTGTTCTTTCACCTACTCTCTTCCTTCTTTTTATGACTGACTCACTTTACATTACGACTAATTCTATCCATTCTTATGGTGATGATTCTACTCTTCACTGTTCTTCACATTTTTCCCTTCCCCCTAATTCTCAAACTAGATCTGTTTCTAGAGCTGATATCATTTCATCTATCAATGCGGATCTGTGCAGCATATCCGAATGGGAAGGTAGAAACTTGGTTAAATTCAATTGTAATGAAACTCAGTACCAATTACACTTTCCAAAATAGAAGATCTTCCATCAATCACATTCAGGATGCTATCATTCTGCCAAATTTTAAAGTAGATATGCTAGGCCTCACCATTTCCTCTAATATGTCATAGAAATAACACATCCACAACATTGTTAAAGCTGCCTCCCAAAAGCTGGGATTGCTGTACAGATGCTGTAGCTACTTCACTCCTGAGCAGTTGCTTCAAGTATATAAGAAATTCATTCGTCCTAACTTGGAGTAATGCTCTCATATCTGGGGTGGCTCTTCTTCTGTCCAACTGTTAGATAGAGTGGAATCAAAGGCATTTTGTCTTATTAACTCTCCTCCTTTAGTTGATAATCTCTCTTCCCTTTCTCTTTGCTGCAATGTTGCTTCACACACACTCTTTTACAGCTACTTTAATGGGCAATTTTCGGTGGATTTGGCATCCTGTGTACCGCAAGCAAGCCCGTAGGCTCGTAACACTCGTCTTGCCCACAGTGCCCACCGTTTTTGTGTGGATGTCGGTCGCACTAGAATAACCTGTTATAGTACATCCATCTTTCCTCACACAGCCAAACTGTGGAATGCTCTGCCTTCTTCTGTTTTTTTGTACTCCTACAATGTCTCACTTCATAAAGGCGGTTTTCCGGCCTCTTTGTGGTGTAGGTTAATATAGTCTTTTTCTCTTCATATTTTTGATGTCTTTTTACTCTTATATGTTTTGCCCTCTAGGCCCCGTTGTGGGTCGATGACCTGTGCCTGGGTGGGCTATTCCCCCCCCCCCCCCAAATCGCTACATGACCAAAACAATAATAATACTGAGGCGACAACTTTTTATTTTAATTTTAAGTATTTTTATTTTATTCTTTTTTAGGTTTTCTCTTTCTACAATTAATAAATCACCTGAGTGGGCAGGGCATAATTAGCATATGAAATTAAAGAACACAGGATAATTTCTTTAAGTATTCACATACAGCATACTGTACAGTACATTACTACATGAATAAATGAGGAGAAATTGGACATTCAGGCAACTGGCTCTTGTATTCATTGAGTTTAACCCGATAACTGTGGTAGAGTGATTCGCCGATCAACCCTCCAGTGCGCAAAAAATCACGTACAGGTACAGTATATTGATTTTCCCTGAACATCATTTTAACGCTTGTGGATTAAAAGATAATATATAGAAAAATGTGGAAGCAAACTACGAGTCCATTAGTCCTTACCTTAGTTTGGCCGCCAGTCTCTTGTAACGCAGGAAAAGGATTCTAACATTTATTGCTTACTCCAACACTAGACTAATTTGACAATTTCTTTAAAAGTAAATATAGTTGAAGCTCTAACATAACTCTCGATGAATTTCGAGTGTTTCAGCTATAAGTAGGTAGTGATATCTCTGTAAGCCAGAACAATTGGTGCAGAGCACTTCCGAGAATGAGAGATTTCTGGGTAATGAGACGACTCAAACTGGGAAAAGAATCCCCAATCCCTGGAATTTTCTGGGTACTGGTAATTACATCATCTCTCGAACCCGCTGCATTCAAAATGCTCTGAATTCCAGAATGCACAAGTACAGTGCAGTATGTCACATTCCTCTGCTTATCATTCCAGAATATACTGTATGTCGCAGTTGTAGACTAATAACGTTGTAAGTGTTAAAGAATACAGTAGTGAAATATAGAGGCATACTGGGAGTAAAAACTATTATTTTCGCATATTTTCATCCTTACTTATGGAAATACAGTATTACAAAAAAAAAGTAAAAAAAATCATCATAACTTCAGGGACAAAGGCTTTCTAGGCTTGGGTCTACATGTATTCCTGTATTGCCATAATTAATATTGTACCCTGTACTACAGTATTTTGTTTTTAATAAACGATAGGTAAAAATCACAAGGATGTGCTGTAAATGTACAGTAAAGCTAGCCTGTCTGGTATAGACCCCCCAAAAAAAAAGTATCATTACTGAAGAGATCAAAGTGGTTTGTTATTTTATGACTAATGTTGGACGCTAGTTTCAGAAAGTTTTGGTACAGTCGACCACAAGAACACAGTTATACTATCAACTATATATACGTACTGTATATGTACGGCAGGATATGTTGTTAGCAACAGATATGTGAGGACACCCTCAGGCAAGGAAATGGTGTGGTAATTTTTTTTTTTACTGTGTTTACAGTATGAGTAGACAGTACTGTACAGAATGCCATTATCTAATCTATGGATCAAATTACTGTACAGTATCTGGTGCCCCTGTAACACTTTGTACAGAGAACTGCCATAATCCTGTTTTTTTTTGGTGTGGTGGACTACACTATACATTATTTTTTTTTCTTTTATGAGAAAAATATAAGATGTGTTTGTGCTGAATATGGCATATTAAAATATGGAACAGTATTGGTATATTGTACTTTATGCTGATTATATTTGAATTCAGTCTTTATAGTACTGTACATATTTGTATTTTTGTTCTCAGGAAAATCGTCCAGTTCCAGAACCAGGACCAAATGGTAAGACCACAGTATTATGAACCGCATTGTAGGGTAAAATGTTTTAAAATTTGTAATTTGTATTGTTATCGTAGGATGATGATGGCATCACAAGGGTTAAGATACAGTAGAACCTTAATAAATCGGACTAGTTGGGGTAGACCCCAGTCCGAGAAATGCGAAAGTCAGAAAAAAACGAATACAGGTATATGGAAGGGGGATGGGGGGGATGGGGATAACACTGTTTATCTGAACTGTTTAAAGAAAATCAGTTGTTGTCATGTTATTACTGCACTCAACAATCTAATTGGTTCTAGAACCTTGTTCGTTATAGCATTCGTTCGTTATAGGATTAATCTGTTCCAGGCCCCCAAATACAACCACTTAACACTGAAAAATATAATATGAAATTGTAAAAAAGTGCATAAATATGCATCTAAACTCCTGAAATAAAGAATATAATTAATACTTGTAATAAAAAACAATAAATTAGTAAAAAAAAAAAATTACTGTTCGTTGTAGAAGTTTCGTTCGTTATAGCATTCTCAATTTTATAGGTAAAACCGTTCGTTATAGGAATATTCGTAGTAGAATCCGTTCGTTATAGCATACCCCACTGTAAAAGAATATTACATTAACAATTAAAAAAAATGAAACAACTCTCTGGGGTGAAAATCAGACATAAGTCTGGTTGTCAACAACTGTTTTCACTGGGATGATTATTATTTACTGTAAAATGTTAGGTATATGTAAGTAACCTCAGAATTTTCTTAGGAATAAAGAGAAAACTGGATACTGTACAGTACTATAAAGATAAAAATAAGAACAATTAAGTGTAGGATTATATTGTATGTGGAAGACGAGTGCTTATCTGGGAGCAGCTGGCAGAGGGGAGGGTGTAGCCCGGGTGGGTACTCTCTCCCCAAGATTCCTTTAACACTTCTTTATGCAATTTCACCATAATTCTCATCTAATTTAGGATCATTTGGTGTCAGGTTGGTAAAATATTATCATAAAAGAATCCGCTTTCCTGAAAAAAGAATCCCACACTGAACACCACAAGTCATTTGTTTACAAAGGGCAAGCAGCTGATTGGCTTAGCATAATGTCGGTGTTCAACACTTAGTAAATTAGTACAGTATTGGAGTACTGTATTGTCACCCCGTCTGGTCCCCGAGGTATGCTAGAGACTGTCAATTGATTGAAAATGCCCAAAGGAGGGCCACCAGACTGGTGCCTGCTCTCTGGAACCTCATTTACCCAGAGAGATTGGAGCTCCTGCAACTATCTCGCTTATACTACAGACGGGTGAAGGGCGACCTAATTGAAGTGTATAAACATCTCAGGGGGCACTACCCGGTCAAATGTACATACCTGGAGCTGGCAGATGCCCGCCCCACAAGGGGTCACAGCTCAAGGTTGAAGAAGGCACAAGTCCAGAAAACTGTGAGGGCAAAATTTTTTGGAGTGAGAATTGTGAACTCTTGGAACAAAATGCCAGAGAGCGTTGTGACGGCACCGAGTGTCAGTTCATTCAAGGCCAGACTTGACCAACACTGGAGCAGGTTCCAATGTATTCAGGAGCCGGTGCATGCCCAGTATCTGCCAACAGTGAGTATCAGAGATGGGACCGACCGCCCAAGTGGCTAACGAGCCAATCATTGGTGAAGAGGATAAAGGTAAAAGTACCAGTAAGTAAAGTACAGTCGTGTATTTATCATCACTCAATAAATACTATTGCAGTGTATTTATCACCATTTAATAAATAATATTGTTGTGTATTTATCATTACTTAAGTAATATTGTAGTGTACAGTATTATGCATCTGCATATATCTGCATATAGGAAGGTTTCTTCATATAAAATACAGTACTATACAGTGTGTTACAGTGACCTATATTGTAAGCTGGTCTGCTGAAAGATTTCACACAAATGCATCTTGAGTAAATAACCTTCGATACAGCTTATCCTTTTATTTTCAAGTCATATTACAAATTACATACATTATTGTATTTTTTATAAATTACTGAAGATGTTATATTAATCATGATGAGCCATAAACCATAAGAGGCCAATTATATGAGAATATAATACTGAATCAATAAATAAATAAACCTGATGAATGCGGGAACACCTGATCAGCCCCAGCCTGCTTGCATACTCAAGTGTCTTAGTTTTCAGTAGGCCTATAGCAAATCTCATTAGACCACTGTACAGTATTCAGTAAGTGTGGTTCTTTTCATAAGATTTATTTATTATTCTTTCCCATTTCTTACAACATTATTTTTTTTATTACTGTTTTTCTGGTGACCAGAGCACCTCAGAGTCCAAAAAAAGCTAACTCGGCTATATTGAATTCCGATTTATCAAGGTTTTACTTACAGTATTGCACGATATCATTCATATCACCAGATTTTTTTTGAGTTGTGTTATTTTATGCTTTGTCAATAGAATGCTTTACATTATCTACAGTATTGTCAGAAGTTATCTTCAGGCAGGGGTGGTTAAATAGTTAGTTTGGTCTCCAATGGGGATATAAAATCCTGGTGGGCGAGCCAAAATATTGGAAAGCTAGCCCGATTGGTGACCTTTTTTTTATAAACGATTTTGCAGCTGCTGTTCACATTTGAAGACCGTATGCCTCAAAAATGACTGGAGGCGAAAGCTACAGATAGAATCTGTAACCTGAGCAGTAGAGCTGAATAGAGAATTTGAGGGAAGTTGTCGAAAACTGCTTTTCTGGTTGACCTGGTGCTCGCTGTCCCATCCTCTCTACAACAAAATGTTCAGTATTATGAAGCTCATCAGTGCTGGATTTAGGAGTACAGTATTCAGAGTGTGCAGCCAAACATAGCATCCAACTTGAAATATAGAAAAGTAAATATAAAAAGTTAGGTTTGTTTAGTTTATATTTATACTGTAATGCCACTAGCTACCGGTAGTTAGTTTTTCTTTTATTGACAACTTGGTGGGAGGGGGTTGCAGTAAGCTAGGATAGGCTATTTGCATACACTTGAGGTATATGGTAGATATTAATTTATTTACCATCAATAAACACTTTAATAACATGGCGGCTTTTGGGTGTGTTAGTAAAACTAAATAGCGAGAGGCTCAGGGCCCCCACAGGTCTAAATCCGGCACTGAATCTCATCAGGAGTGACTGGAAGAGTTCTCTCAATCCAGACACTAGCAGGCATTAAGACAGTTGTGTTGCACACTGCTTACATAGTAAACTTGGATCCACTGCCAGCAATTGAATGATGGAGTGCAGCTGGTCCAGGGGGAAGAAAAAAATTATACTCTACAGTTTGTTGCAACTACAACTTCAAAACTAGTGCAGAAGTTGTCATGGAGCTGGAGGAATTGGAAGATGAGGATAACTCTGGGGTGTGGTCCTGCTCAGACAAGGAAGAAGAGGGATTACATCTTGGACTCGACATGGATATGGTCTCGGAATGTATTCTAGTATAAGTCGAGAAATGCCGAGATATATAAAATTATCTGGGAGAATCTCAGCATATGTAGCCACCTGCATCACCTACCATGCCTCTGTGCCACCTACCATACCTCTGTGCCACCTATCATGCCTCTGTGCCACCTACCATACCTCTGTCACCTACCATGCCTCTGTGTCACCTACCATACCTCTGTGTCACCTACCATGCCTGTGTCACCTACCATACCTCTGTGTCACCTACCTTGCCTCTGTGTCACCTACCTTGCCTGTGTCACCTACCATACCTCTGTCACCTACTATACCTCTGTGTCACCTACCACACCTCTGTGTCACCACCCTCTGTGCACCTACCATGCCTCTGTGTCACCTACCACCTCTGTGTCACCTACCATGCCTGTGTCACCTACCATACCTCTGTGTCACCTACCTTGCCTCTGTGTCACCCACCTTGCCTGTGTCCCCACCATACCTCTGTGTCACCTACTACCTCTGTCACCTACCATGCCTCTGTGTCACCTACTACCATGCCTACCTGCCTCTGTGTCACCCTACCATTCTGTGTCACCTACTACCATGCCTCTGTGTCACCTACCATGCCTCTGTCACCTACCCTCCTGTGTCACCTACCATGCCTCTGTGTCCACCTACCATGCCCACCACCATGCCTCTGTGTCACCTACCATGTCCAATACCACACCTATGCCTGTGTCACCTACCATGCCTCTGTACCTACCATGCCTCTGTGTCACCTACCATGCCATGTCACCTACCATACACCCTGTGTCACCCTGTACCTCTGTACCCACCTACCACCTCTGTGTCACCACCCATACCTACCTGTGTCACCCTACCATGCCTCCACCTACCATACCTCATGTGTCACCTACCATACCTACCATGCCTCTGTCACCTACCATACCTCTGTGTCACCTACCATGCCTCTGTGTCACCTACCATACCTCTGTGTCACCTACCATGCCCATGTGTCACCTACCATACCTCTGTGTCACCTACCATACCTCTGTGTCACCTACTATGATGCTTCATTCTTCACCTGCAGTGCTGGTAAGTGTTACTTTTTTACATTTAGTAATTACATGTAATGTATATGGGTCAATAATTTTGTATTGTATTTTTGTAGGAGGGGGAAGTGCCTCGATAAGTCGGAATTTGGGATAACTTGGCATGTGTGCCCTGTCAATGTACACCTATATGCTCCACCTACCCATACTCTGTCATGTCACAAGAATGTCACTAGTCTAAAACCAGGTAGGTCTGTGCACCTACCATGCCTCTGTCACCTACCATACCTACCTCTGTGTCACCTGTCATACCTCTGTGTCACCTACCATGCCTCTGTGTCACCTACCATGCCTCTGTCACCTACCATACCTCTGTGTCACCTACCATGCCTCTGTGTCACCTACCATACCTCTGTGTCACCTACCATGCCCATGTGTCACCTACCATACCTCTGTGTCACCTACCATACCTCTGTGTCACCTACTATGATGCTTCATTCTTCACCTGCAGTGCTGGTAAGTGTTACTTTTTTACATTTAGTAATTACATGTAATGTATATGGGTCAATAATTTTGTATTGTATTTTTGTAGGAGGGGGAAGTGCCTCGATAAGTCGGAATTTGGGATAACTTGGCAAGGCCAGAGCCGCTTGTGTGCTGGGTTATCGAGGGTTACTGTATATATTATTGAGAGCAATTATTTAATTTTTCTGGCAGGCTAGTAGTTTTTGGCATTTAATAGCCTGATTCTTTCAGAGGTACTCCTGAGAATGGCTCAAGTTGGTATTTGTGGTTCAGATGTGTCGTACTGGACTAAGGGGGCCATTGGTCATTTTGTTGTATTAGCACCAATGGTGCTTGGTCATGAGTCTGCTGGTGTGGTGGCCAAGTGTGGCAAGAATGTCACTAGTCTAAAACCAGGTAGGTCTGTTTTGCTTCTCTACCTGTAATTAAGTATCCATCTTGTCAACATTCTATTATATTAATTGTTACATGTGATGCATGTTTTAGAAATTATTTTCTCTTTTGATATGAATTTCTTTAGGAGATCGAGTTGCCATTGAGCCAGGCGTTCCATGTCGTGTGTGTGAGTTCTGCAAAAAAGGCAGATACAACTTGTGCCCAGATGTTTTCTTCTGTGCAACGCCACCCGATGATGGAAACCTATGCAGATATTACACCCATGCTGCAGATTTTTGTCTCAAGTATAATGCCAGTTTTGTCCTTAATAATTAGTGTCATAAATTCTCTACAGGCTACTTAAATTATAGAATGATTAATAGCAAAATACAGTACTGTACGGTAGTTATTATTCTTTGCATTTATAAAACAGTTTAATGTTACTTTAAAATATTATCATTCAAAGTTTATTACAGTAATGATGGCTCTGGGTCACTATATCATTAGTAATTAGGAAATACAGTACTATAGTTAGTGTAATGCATTATAACCAGCATAATTCCTCTTGTTGGGAAGGAAAAGGTGTCCCTGTAGTGAAATACAATAATAGTAAACATACATAGAAGGAATTTGGCAAAAAGAACCTGGAATCAAATTTTACTGGATGCTTATGGTATGAGTTGTCAGTGTTAAACATTTTTGCCAAAATTTTGCAAATGAGAAGAAAGTAAAAGTATTGAATTGGGATGTAAAAGATGTTCACTGCTAAATATTGGTGATTAAAACGTGCTTCTAAAGGTAATATATTTTATATAAAAAAATTATGAATTTTACAGTTCATTAAAAATAATTTATTTTTTAAAATAAATTACCTTGTTTTTTTATAAAAAATATTTTACTTTATTTATTATAAAAATACATATCGGTACTGTATTTTTTTTAATGGGGATACTGTACAGTGGTCTAATCAGATTTGATACAGGCCTAATGAGAGCTAATAGGTACAAGATGACACTTGTCGTGTGAACATGCTGGAGGTTGACGGGGGTGAGACTGGCCGTTGCCTCGATTGCAAGTTTTTTTATTTGTTCATTATTATACAGTACAGTGGTCCCTCGGTTAACGAACAGTTCATAACACATCGCAAACCTTCAGAAAAAACGTCTGCATGACCAAAGCTTAAAATTTACCCAATATAGCCTATCTCGAATCTAAACATCCAATTACTTATGGTAGTTAAAGCAAAATTTTACTTATTAATTAATATAAATGATGATATATCCCAATACATTCTCAAAAAGTCCAGACAATGTCATTACTTCTAGATTGACTCGTATCTCCATCTAGTACTGATATACTCTGTAAATGCACTGAAAAAAAAGAGAAAGTCTACCAGGTAAGAATACATGACAGCTGAGCTGGTGTGAACATGGGAGTTTTTTATGTCCATAAGCTGCTCTTCGCGGCACATTACTTCACTTATGAAATATCCACGACTTAGACCATAAAAAACCACCCTTAAAACTTACCTGAACATGGCATTTTAGGTCTGAAGAGGCCATCCTTTGTACTACCTCCAACTGCAGCGGTGAGTTTGTTGGAGAACGTCGTCTGCGGGGAAACTGGTGACGTCATTGCAAATGGCGGCTCTGTTTCTAGATCACTGGTTCCCAAACTGGGGGCCATGGGCCCCCAGCAAAATTTAGGGGGCCATAAGCTGAGGCTATGTACACATAAAAATCCCAAGCCCCACCACACTAGAACAGCCAGTCAGCAGCTGAGCCAGCCAGAGATATGGATTGGGAGAGGGGGGCCATGGATAAGGATTATATATGAAAAGTGGGTAATGATCAGAAAAAGTTTGGGAACCACTGTTCTAAATAAATAAACTTATCTCGACTATTATAGCAGGACTTTAAAATTTATTACAAATTATATATACCGTATCACTCTACGAACGTGTCAGAGTGTATTTCTTGTGTTTACTCGGAACCGACAACGAGTTCATTATGAATAACAAGAAACGCCGTCCATTGAGTCTCTTTCTATTTGTAACGGAACTTTTCAGCTCTTGTGTTAATCCTCACAATGACTATCTTACAGAAAATGCTAGCCCTTCGTATTTGCTGATGAGACATATATCACTATAGTCTGACAGGCTTGCAACCAGGATGAGGGGTTGGGGTGGGAGGCAAAGAAGGAACAGAGGAGGCTCATCACCTTGGAGTTAAAATTTGAGAACTAACAGTAGCGAAGCATTATTTAGCCCGCAGAAAAAGGTCTGGTAATGCCATTCAGGACATGATAAGTGTATACAGATTATCAGGGATGTGATTTCTTCCTTTTTTTTTTCTCTTTTTTCCCAACGTTTTAGGCAACCCTCTAGGGTCGATGGGCACAGTTTACTGACTGTGCCACGCGAGGATGATGAGCCAGTATACTGAGTATAGTGGCAACACTCTACATGTTCATCCATTACATCTTATACTCATTGGCTGAGTATTGCTTGTTTTGCACTCCATTCTTCTATTCTTTAGTATTTTATTGACCAAAGATCATTGATGTCATACAATGCCACTATTAGAAGCGTTATGATATGCTGCTCCAACCTATCCACTTGATCAACCCTCCCCCACCACCACTGGCGGCGAAGGGGGCTAATCATTTTTCAATACAGTAGTCCCTTGGTTAACGAACACAATTCATTCCAAAAGGTCGTTCATTAACCGAAACCATTGTTTAAATGGGATTTTGGGTAATTGGTTCCAGCTCACCGAAAATTACATACAAAGTAAAAATAAATGCAGTAAAGTACACTTACTTTGAGGTGTGCATGTAGAAGGCTCCTTGATGATGATGATGATGGGAATTAGAAGTGGGGGTGGAGGAGAAAGGAGAAGAGAAGGAAGTGGGAGTGGAAGAGAAATCACCCCATGCTTCATGCCGTCATTTCACCCATAAAATTTTAAGTTCACTAGGTGTAATTCAAGATTATTTTCTTTAAATCAACACTGCACTGCACTATATATTGTCAATGTGTTAAATAAATTTCAGAATGACCAATATTTGTACTGTAAAAACATAAAAATAGTTTATGTTCAAGAGAGCCACAAGCAAGATGTTACCTCCACTGACCAGAGATACAAACTGACGCCATGGTGGGTGAGTCAAGTGGCTGATTGGCGTACCAAAAACTAGTTTCCTGTACTGCAATTATGTTAAATAAGTGTTAAAATGACTAAAAATTTTAACATAAAACTTGCAAATTTATTGAATAGCACAACCTTCTTGATATTTACTCAAATGGAACGAATTTAAGCCCTAGAACCGATTACTGTATTGGCGGACTAATATTCCAGCTGGTGAGCAAGCCAAAACATGTTGACATGATTTCGTAAGAATTTCGTTAACCGAATTTTTGTTCGTTAACCGAATTGAAGATTCTTATGGAAGGTAATTTGTTAACCGAGGCGTTCGTTAACCGAGGGATCACTGTATAACTAAGTTTCTATAATCTTTTTACACTTTCTGATCAAAATTTATTCTATAACTCATACTATATTTCATAGTTGTATAGGCAACTTAGTAGGGGGTGTCTGTGTCCCCCAGGAGGTCAGGGCTGTAGGGCATGTGTGTCCCATAGGAGGTCAGGGCTGTAGGGCATGTGTGTCCCTCAGGAGGTCAGGGCTCTAGGGCATGTGTGTTTGTCTCCCAGGAGATCAGGGCTCTCGTGTAAAAGGGGTGGGTGGGGGGGGCAGAAAAGGTTTTTATTTACTCTATTTGTATTATCTTATTAATATATCTGTAAGAGGAGATATCTTTCCTTTCATATATCTATCTTATATTTTCTGTTTATTGGTTTCAACATTAAACAACTGTTACATTGTATCCTTGACAACAAGGATGATTATTTCACACACTTGTCAATAGTACAGATATTCATACATTCCTTATAACACCATGTTAGTACTGAATGAACAACATGGAAACAGGTACCAGCATCTCGATTGGAGAGTACCCATTGATGGTGTACTCACAACTCATATAACAAATGTAATACTGGCAGCAATATTTTGGGTTTCCATACTCAACTTGGGACAATTATATTTCTGCTAATTATCCCCAGTCATGTACAACAACACTACCGTATTTCTCATTTCTGTTCACTCAGCGATCAAATTCACTTGATGATCTGTTTTTCAGCAACTCCTCCTGATCGCTAAACGATGTATCCCTCTACAGTAATAGTTTGGTATAGTTATTACATTTGCAACTATCATTTTGTGCAGACTGCCTGATCATGTAAGTTTAGAGGAGGGGGCCCTTCTAGAGCCATTAAGTGTTGGAGTTCATGCCTGTGAACGCGGTGGAGTAACTCTCGGTTCTTCTGTCTTGGTGTGTGGTGCAGGGCCAATAGGCCTTGTTAACTTACTTGCAGCGAAAGCAATGGGAGCTTCAAAGGTTTGCATCACAGGTAAGAGTTTTTGTTTATTTTAAATTCATGGAAATTTAAAGTGTTTATGTACCAGTCAGTATTATTGTGGGCAGTTACATTTATTTATTACTATTATTTACTTTATTATTATTGTACAGTATGTACATTTTTAAAATAAATTTGTTAGTACAGTTATTATAAATATATTATTTAATGTGGCAGCCAAGGCAAGGCACAAAAATTGAACAGAAAACGAATGAATAATCAAACACAAAAATTTGGAAATTGTCGAATAATGTGAAAATATTCCAAACTCGATTATGTTGTTTTTTCAGTAATTCGAGTGACCCAGAACCCCTTCTTTGTCGAATTCATGAGGATATAGTGTAGTATGGCAAGGGATTTGCCTCCCAGCTGGGAAGTTAGGTAGGATTTTTTATGTCAGGGGTTCTGTGCATTGTCATATCATTTTTATTACTTACTGTCATCCAAAGAACATTTATGGAAAAAAAAATAATGAAATCAAGCTACTCTTTTTTTAACTGACCGTTGGCAGATGTGCAGTAATGAGCATAAATCTAAGTACCTGCTCGAGCAACTCCACAGTTAGTCAGTTACCCCGTGTAACTTCGTGAGCGCATGCTAACTTTTTGACATCTCTATTTACATTTCTTTTTCATTCACTGACCTCATATTTGTTAACAAAATGGCTCCCAAGAGCAAGGAGAGTGATACAGAAAATGTTATTTAAGAGAAAGAAAGTGAATTTTAAGCTCACTGATAAGATTGAAGTGCTGGATAAATTATAATGTGGCATGTCTGCCAGTGCTGTCATGCATGAATTTGGTGTGAATGAATCTACTGTTCATCCTATCTGTAAAAAAGAAACTGAACTGTGCAAATGTGTTAAGGAAGCTGCCCCTCAAAGTGCCGGAAGTAACATCTGTGGCGTGTGATTCATATCTTGAGATGATGGAAAAAAGACTACATTTATGGATTGAAGAGTTGGTGAGTAACCGTTGTGGACGGAGTGGCTCTGAGGCAGCAAGCTTTCCGCATCTACGAGCATGTGACGAAGGATGCTACAAACCCCAAACCTTTCTTAGCTAGTAAAGGGTGGGTGAAAAGGTTCAGTAACAGATATGGAGTGCATAAATTAAGTCAACTGGAGAATTTGCCATAGCAGATAAGGTCGCCCTTTGACGCTTTTATTCCCGAGTTCTTGAACTTAATCCCTGGGCTGTGGGCTAAGTAGGCCTCGGCTCACACCATACATGGGCATATTTAGGCGCAAATGAAAATAATAGAAACTGTTTCCTTACAAATCCATCGTAAATGGTACAAATACGTAATAAATGAATGTACTGTACTTACCATTAGTTGGCATCGTGGCAGGTGTGAGGAGTGGGAGATATGGGTTGGTGCCTGGGGAATACTCTGGCTCAGTGATATAAGTTACAAGTTCATTTACATACTCAGACTTGAATTATACATAGGGAAAACAATTATTTGTTAAAATTTATGAGTTTTTATTACAATAAACTTACTCCATGTAAATATCAACACCATCTCTGAAACATTTTATCATTTCTAACTTGAAATACTATGACAAATATGATAATTTTGGTAACCATAGTACCATACCCAATTTTTTCCATAAGTTATTAAATTCAGCATTCATGAATACATGACAATTTACTAGCGCGTAACCCTCACAAATAGGGGGGTGGGGGGGATAAGTATATATTCTTTCATTATACAGGGTATGGTCAAAAATTTTCATACTATCTTCCTTTCCTTTAGACATTACTGAGAATCGCTTGCGAGTTGCCAAGGAGATGGGTGCAGACTACACAATACTTGTTGATACAAATGATGCAGAGAAGTTGGCACAGCAAGTCAAGGAAGTAATGGGTGGGATGCCAGACAAAACAATTGAGTGCAGTGGTGCTGAGACAAGTGTTCGTCTTGGTATTTTGGTGAGTATGATGCTGCTTTTGAGGAATGTGTGTATACAGTACTAGTAGAGTAAAGAACAGTGTGTGTGTGTGTGAGAGGAATGAAAGTAAACCTAATGGCTGTAAGGGTCTAAATTACAAAGTGTTACATCGAAGCCTCACAGTTGTATATCATGTATTGGTGGATATTTGTTGTATCATATAAATAAAAAGGATATAAAGGTTGAACATTTACACTGAAGAACCCAGAACTTTTAATTTGGATTAGCACATAGTCTGTTAATTGTAGATGTATAGAATAAGCACCAGTTATACAATCTTGGGTTTAGTTGAATCCAGTGTCACTCAGACTCTTTACCTGCAATAATTAAATGTACCTCAACAATGACAGCATGCAGCAAGAAAGCTAAGAGGTAGGTGTGTAATAAAGAGCTAGTCTGTGACGATGAGGGTGGTGGTGATAAGAGGTAGAGGAGGTGTTGTGCCAGTTTCTAAGACTGCTGTCTGGTTCAAGTGATGTCTACAGCCTCAGGTTTGTTATTTTCACCTGTCTGTTTTATTTTGCCTACAATACCGTATACAGTATTTAAATGTAGCTCTACAACATGTTAGTACAATAGAAATGCTTTAACGTAAAATATTCTATCAAGAAAATATAGGGGTGTATGTTTCGACAGCCGAGAGGTGTTTAAACCCACACAAACACTCTCCCTTCCTCCCTCCTTTGTCTTACTGTTTGCTGTATACCTGCACTGTCTGTACACATGCTGAACTCTATGCAGCATTCTACCTGCATAGTTTATGTGCATGCCAAACTAAAGGTTGGACCCCGCTAATCCGGGACCCGATAGTCCAGCAGCTTCGATGGTTCGGAACGGTATCAGTTATGCAATTCACTCTTTGATTTTTCTGCTTATCTTATGGTGAAAATTATGATATGTTCTGCAACTTCTTAAAGTAGCATCCTGTGCTCTCCACCCATTACGTATTTGCCCTTATGACAATTATTATTATTTTTTTTCACAATATGTATGTAGGATGGTGTGTGCAAGTAACCGAGTGAAAGTAAATTAAGAAATTTACATATATCGACCCTAAAATACGAGTTGAAAAACAACCATAACACCACAGCTTGGCCCAGTATCCTGGTGGTTACAGTGACGAGTTTATCCTGGCTACAATGCCATGATTAATCACTATTAATCACTATTATATCAGTAAACACTAATAATAACAGTAAATTCAGTGAAAAATGGCAGAGAGGGAGGAGAGTTACAACTGAAGACGAGAAGACGACGCTGTAATTAGCGGTCTCTCACTTGCTCCCAGGCTCCAGTTGCCAGTTGTACGATTGAAATACAGTATGTATAGAAGAATACATATCTTGTAGTCTAATTTGAAAAAGGTGATGGACACAGTGATAAACAAATTATATAAACCATACATTTACCTATGATAACATATTAAGAAATATTGTATCATTACTACAGTGAATGAAATAAAATTCCCCAAAACAACATTTGATAACTCTCAGGCAGCTGTGTCTCGCTCACTGACGCCTTGGACCCTTGAAATTTTGGCTCAAGGTGGACATATCTGAGGACAAATTTTGTCCTTTTTTTTTTAATTCTTGAATTATTTTTTGGCAAATAATTTTGTCTGACTGAGCTACAGCACTAACACAGTAAGCGTGAGCTTGATTTATGCTGATCTATTTTGTAATGGTACCAGTAATAGTACATTTTATACATTAATTTGCCCTTTTTTACCCTCGACTTTGACGGTTCGGAATTTTCGCTAATCTGTAACCTGTCTGGTCCCAAGCTTCCCGGATTAGCGAGTTCAACCTGTAATTATAAATTTATAAGATGATTATAGTACTAAATAATAATATTATTACAGTACTGTTGTTATTATTATTATACAGTATAGAATATGCCAGTTCATTCACTCAGATCTGAAAATAAATAGGGGTTCAGGATCATTCTCATGTTTTATGTATAAACACCCAAGTTGCAGATATTTTGGTGACTCCAGTGGCATAGCGTGGTATTTGTACAGGGGATGCAAAAGGTTATTAATTTCTGACCAGAATGTCACCAAGAACACAAGAGGATGAAAGTAAAAAGTAAAAGAAAGTATTATTTTGATTTAGTTATAATTTGTCACAGGACTGCACAGCTGGCATCAGGTTGTTTTTTTAGGATAAGGAAAAGCAAATTATGTGGATCACTATCATACAAATGAGATATTACTTAGTAATAAAGGTTTGTTTCAGACTACCCTTATATACAATAAAACAAAAGGCTAACTTCAGATAACCATGCCTGCAGTGAAACATAAAAGTGTTATTTGACAATAACCATGAATGCAATAAAACTTATGTTATTTAAATTATGATACTGCAGATTAATATCAGACAAGAGCCAGGAGCTGCTTTTTCATCTTGGCAAAGGTGTCAATGACTCTTATCATAGTTCAGAAATTGTTGTGCATACTTCTGTTCAATTGTAAGAAGAGACAATTTGTAAAATGCTCTTTTGGCATGGATGATCAAAGGTAAAATTTTATAAGTTTCATCTGACTTAATGGTCTTTCAATACCAGCACTTGAAACAGGAGGGTCAGGAAAATTTGTGTAAGTAGTACGTACTATATTGGGAAATGTATGTAAAACTATCAGTTATTCTTCTGTGCAGAGATGCCAAAATGTTCCAGATTTATCATTAGTAAAGTGTTAAGTACATTTTAAAATCTTTAGAATATTACTGAGAATATTATTAGTTCTCCAGAATATCTCTAGATTTTATGTTGCAGATGTACTTTTTTGTTTTGTTTTTTTACACTAAACAGAAGTAAATATCTCTTAATACCTGTAGGTCTACCTCGGGAGCTGCTAAATTGGCAACACTGGCTGCCAGAGTGTAAGGGCTACCCAGTGTCCTGTTGCCAGAATTACTATGAATCGCATTCACTTTACTACTGTAAATTAGCAAGATACATTTTTTATGCCCTTTTCGCAGGTTCAGGATGTAGCAGCTATGGTTATAACAAAAATATCTCCCTCCATCCCTTTTTCTGCTTATGTCATTTATTCACAACCAGCTCGAGATTTCCAATTATACAGTAACAGATAATTTACTCGATCAGGGGTAAGAGCAGCCATCCACCCGAGTTGGCAATGCAGGTGGGATGCTGTCGGAGCAAACAAGCTCCGTGGCATCCATCCTGCATTGGGTGCGGGGTTATCAGGGACTGTTGTGCTACCGGGAGACTGCTTTGGCCCACCTCCGTATTGGCCACACACGACTGACTCATGGTTTCTTAATGGAGAGAGCGTCCCATTCCCATTGTGATAACTACCTGATCCCATTGACTGTTCAACACTTCCTAGTAGAGTGCCCCAGTCTCATAGGTCTTCATAGTAAGCGCCTCTCCCAATGCTGGGGGGGAGACGGGTCTCATCGTCTCTCTTTGGTGCTGGGGGGGTTGGAAGTGTGGGAGGGGACGTCCTCTACTTCGTGGAGGAAGTCGGCCTTATACACAAGCTTTTAGTTTTATCAATTAATGTTTAAATGTTTTTTACGAAAGTTGTAAGTTATTTGTTACTTATGTTTTTTACCTCATTATTTGATTTGAATCTTGTAAGTATTTATTTATTTTAATTCGGTGGCATATGACCTAATCTGTTGCATCACCAGGGATGTAATTACCACAATCAATTGATCAGGGGTAGCATATTTCCCAAGGTATGCCACTAGTGAGGTCAGTAATAAAAGATAAAAAATTTCTTATGTACTGCATATTTAACTACCTATACACCTTTTACAACATTATTCCTTAAGATCAGTTAGTTTGGTGCTCATAACAATCCTGAAATATTTTTGTTAAGTTTTATTTATTTTACAGGGTACTAAATCAGGTGGAACAATAGTGCTGGTTGGTCATGGTCCAGATGAAGTAAAAATCCCTGTGGTTAATGCTGCTGCCCGTGAAGTTGACATTCGAGGCCTATTTCGATATGCTAATAAGTAAGAGCACAGTATTGTACATTGCAGTTTTATCTTATTACAGTTAGCAAAAGTAAACTATCTCTTGTTTAAGATTAAGTAATTTGTTTAGGGTTAAAGTTAATTTCTGGTGTCTTATTTAACAACATTTTATTATTACCTTTGACGGTTTTGCCATAACATATTATGTCTTGTTAGGCGGTGTTATTGTCACATTTTCTGATCCTGGACACAGGATAACTTCGCACCTTGTTTAAAGGTGAAAACCGACTTACAGAAATTGACTAGTAATGGTTTTATGAACTGAATAGATCATCTGGTTCTAACCCAACTTAAACCCTCAATATTGTTAGCTAAGATCAATAAACATTAAGTTCATCTCTTGTTGTGACCATTAGAGATCAGAATCAACAGCTAACCCAGAGAGCTGAAAGCTTATTAAGTCATGATGCTACAGCAGCTTCTCATTTGCAGACTTCCATTGTGTGTGTAAATGAACCTTGAAATGCAAAATTTTGCATTCACTACATTCTTATAAGAGCCTCATGGCCAAAAGATCAAACCCAGAACTTTCTTGTTTGCTACCACTATGAACAATCATTAACAAAAGTTTGCTTCCTCCCAAACTGAAGCACAAGTGACCCCAAATTAGGTAAAACAGCATACCCTTATCAGTCTGCTCTGAAACTCATTCCTATGACTTGGTCTAACCATGGTGAGGGGGGGGGGGGCTTGAGGTCCTGTTCATCTGATGAGCCACACCAGGGGAGGCGGGACTGATCCTCCCCTTCATCTTCATGGAGGAAAGGGCTTCCCATTCTGGAAGGGTCATCAGGGAGTGGCATCTTTCCTCCAGTCCAATCCATAAGGGCTGGAGAGTAGCTCTCCCATGTGTTTGCCATATGTGGCAACCCATACGGCAGGGAGATGGGAATCCTGAAGGTTGAGCGATGCTACACGCTGTGTCCTGTCTCCAGCAACACACCTCTTTGGTCCCTTATTCTGGTTAGATGGAAGGCTTGACATGTGGCCCAGTCAAGTTAATAGGCTGGTCAACATGACAGACCTTTGGGCCAGTCATTTGGCTAGGGTCAAGCAGGCACCACAAAGTTGATGACCCATTTGGTCCTGTGGGTATCATCGGACTTTGTGGTAGCCAACGTATACCTCCCTACTACCCCTGGGGTCATTATAAGTAGCTAATAGAATGGAGGTGGTTGCTAAGAGGAGCTATGCGGACGTATTAGGAGGGCCACGGGTGGGGGGGGCGGAGAGTAATGCAGAATCAGTACAGGTTCTACAGCAGATTGGGACTCTGAAAAAGTGTGTCGAAGAAATGAAAATTAACGCACCTACTGTTAGGGGAGAGGAGGAACACCAGGAACGGCTCCAGCGCAGGAACAATGTAATAGTTTTTGGAGTCCCAGAGAGCCAGGCAGAGGGAACTGTGAGTAAGGAAACACACGACAAGGTGCTGTTTCAAAATATTTGCACAGAGGTTCTGAAGATTCCAGCAACCCCTCAGGATGTGAGGAGACTGGGACAAAAGCAGGGGGCTAAGCCTCGCCCCCTCAGGATCACATTAGGGAGTGAGGAGGAAAAATGGCAAGTTATCCGGCAGGCAAAAAACTTAGCAAGGAGCGAGGCATTTCGAGATGTATTTATTCACCCAGACCGCACGGTAATGCAGAGGGAACAGCACAAGAAGCTCCTGCTGGACTTGAAGCAGAGGAGGGAGGAGTCGAGAAGGAACGGGGACAGGTGCACATGGGTTATACTCAGGGGGAGGGTAGTGGAAACAAGTGTGCCGACACAGGGCCAGGGGGCAGCAGTGCACCCTCCACCCACTCAACCCCCCACCCGGGAGGCGGCACCAGCTCAGCCTACCGGACAGGAGGGAACGAGCGCCGTGTAAACAATGAAATTTTTAACCACACCCTGCAAAATACAGTGTACTTAGCAAATGCTGCAGCTTCTGAGAATGTGGGTGGAGCGGGTTTATTACTAAGAGCAGAGACGTTACCGAGAACAAATTCTGGCTTGAATGTCATGTACACTAATACCGACACGTTCCTTGATAAGAGGGAGGAGTTTGAAACACTACTAAGAGTACACCAACCAGATATTGTAGGAGTTGTAGAACTGTTGTACAAGAACAGGAGAATCGACCCAGAGGAATGTGAGTTCAGTATTGCTGGATATGACTCATTTACGAACCTAACTCAAGAATCCTGCAGGAGGGGTGTGGTTATCTACGCTAGGCAAGACCTTAGAGCCAGCCAGGCGAGGGTACAGGGAGAGGATGTCTTTGAAGAGTCCAAGTGGTGTAAAATTAAATTAAAGGGAGGGGACTTACTTATCGTCGGGTGTATCTACAGATCCCGAACTGTGGCCCACTAAATCAAAGGAACTTAAGAACCTTAATAAACAATGCGGCGATGCTCAACCCCAGCCACCTCCTTATCATGGGGGACTTTAACTATGGCGACATCGACTGGAGAAACGAGTCAACCCCGAATGACTTGAATAATCCTGCTACTCTTTTTGTAGAAACTCTGAGAGATAATTTTCTGTTCCAACATGTGAGAGACCCGACACATTACAGAGGGGAACAAACACCCAAGCCACTTGACCTCATCATAACAAACGAGGAGGGTATGGTGGCCAAACTGGAACACCTTGCCCCAGTTGGCACCAGTCACCATACAGTGTTGTCATTCAGATTTAACTGTTACCTAGTTCAAGATAAGGCCAGGCCAAGGTGCAAATATTACAAGGGAAATTACAATGGGATGAGGGAAGAGATGAGGGGTATCAACTGGCCTGACTTATTAAGGTACAAGAACGCAGACACTACGCTGAATATCATAACTAGTAAAATGACCCATTTGATCGATAAATATATACCCAAGACCAAACCCAGTGCTTCTAGGAATACGAGGGGATCCCTACACATGAACCATGCGGCGGTCGACAAAATTAAGAAGAAAACCCAGAAATTCAAGACGTGGGTTGGGTCAAACGATGAGCAAGACAGGAGGATGTATGCAAGAGCCAGAAACCAAGCAAAGATAGAGTGTAGGAGGGCTGAAAAGGAGTTCCAAAGGCTGGTTGCACGCGAGGTCAAGTCAAACCCAAAGGCGTTTTACCGCTATGCAAAGTCGAAATTGAAAACGCGAGTAGGAGTATCAGACCTGAGGCTTGAAGATGGTAGTTACGCAGATTCTGACCAGGATAAAGCTGAGGCATTGAACAGCTTCTTTTCCTCAGTGTTCACAAGAGAGGATGCAACTAACCTTCCTGCGTTTGAGGACAGACGGTTCGACACAGCACTGACCCACATTGTGTTCACAGAAGAGGGTATTAGAAATAAACTGTCCAGGCTAAAGGTCCATAAGAGTCCTGGACCTGACATGGTGCATCCTAGAGTGCTAAGGGAGCTGTGCAACGAGCTTGCAGAGCCCCTGAAGATTCTGTTTTGTAAATGCCTGGATGAACAAATGGTCCCCAGTGAATGGAAAGTGGCTTATGTGAGTCCTATCTTCAAGAAGGGCGATAGGCACTCCACGAACAACTATAGACCGGTGAGCCTGACCAGCATAATATGTAAAGTACTTGAGAGTATTATCAGAGATGCAGCGATGGAACATCTACTACGAAACAACCTTGTAAAAGATTGCCAACACGGTTTTATGCCGGGGCGCTCTTGCTTGACACAATTGCTCAAGGTATTGGATATTTGGACCCATATTCTAGAACGGGGTGGTAATATCGACAATATTTACCTAGATTTTGCCAAGGCTTTCGACAGTGTACCCCACGAAAGGCTGAAAATCAAACTGGAAGGGTACGGAATTCGGGGAAATGTCCTAGCGTGGATAGAAGACTTTCTACATGACCGCAAGCAATGTGTGGTGATTAATGGCACGAAATCGTCATCTGTACCTGTAACAAGTGGGGTACCGCAGGGTAGTGTATTGGGCCCGCTGTTGTTTGTTTGTTTCATAAATGATATGCCTGACGTTGTACACTCCTCCATACAAATGTTTGCCGATGACGCCAAGTTATTTCGGGAAATTAAGAACCAAGCGGACTGTGAAGAGCTGCAGAAGGACCTCTGTGGGCTCCAGGAATGGTCGAAGGAATGGCTGCTGAGATTCAATGTCACGAAGTGTAAGAGGATGCACCTGGGGCGTACCAACGGTAAGGAGGCGTACCATATGTCCCAACGGGATGAAGAAAATGTACTAGTTGAGACTGTGTGTGAGAAGGACCTAGGTGTGTATGTTGACAATGAGCTGAAGTTCTCGGGCCATTGTGAGAAGAAGGTAAATCAGGCAAATAAATTATTGGGTCTTATAAGAAGGTCGTTCAGATATCTAGACGGTCCGTCCCTCGTGACGATCTTCAGGAGTGAAGTGCTTCCCCATCTGGAGTACTGTCACCCCATCTGGTCCCCGAGATATGCTAGGGACTGTCAGTTGGTTGAAAATGTTCAAAGGAGGGCCACCAAGCTGGTGCCTGCACTTCGGCATCTCAGCTACCCTGCGAGATTGGAGCGCCTGAACTTGCCTAGCTTATACTACAGACGGGCAAGGGGGGACCTAGTTGAGGTTTATAAGCATCTCAGGGGCACTACTCAGTTGAGTGTCCTTACTTGGAGCTGGCGGACGCTCGCCCCACAAGGGGTCACAGCTCAAGATTGAAGAAGCCGCAAGTCCGGAAAACCGTGAGGGCAAACTTTTTCGGAGTGAGGGTTGTAAACTCTTGGAACAATCTACCAGAAAGTGTTGTGACGGCACCGAGCGTGAGCTCTTTCAAGAGAAGACTTGACCAACACTGGAGGCGGGTTCAGGTACATTCAGGAGCCGGTGCATGCCCAGTATTTGCCAACAGTGCGTGACAGAGACGTGACCGATCGCCCGGGCGGCTAGCGAGCCGACCTTTTGGTGAAGAATATAAAGGAAAAGAGTCGTGACCGATCGCCCAAGCGGCTAACAAGCCGATCAGTGGCGAAGAGG